CACACACACACACACACACACACACACACACACACACACACACACACACACACACACACACACACACGCTTTGGTAAAATCTGAGGTTTTAGTTTATCCATTCTTACGCAGCCACATGACTTACTGTAGATAATAATGGATTTGGACAACGCTGCCTGTTGGCCTCATGCTACTGAACATGTTGGATTAAGTGTAAAAGTAAAGCACTGCTGAACGTCACTGATTTTTCACTCACAAATCAGATGAAGGAGCTGACTGAGAATCCCACTGCGGTCGGTCATTCATTCATGTCTATTTGATTTTAACGGTGGTGTCTTGGGTAAAAGGCAGTAAGGGAAGATAATGGGTTGAGTTCTCAGTTGTTTATTCAAAGCGCTGCTGCTATTTACAACAAAACTGACTTTTTATTTGCATGAATGACTGTATCCAAAGGGCAAATCTAAAACATGGTTGTTTTTCAGCTCAATTTCTTTGTTACAATGAACTGTTTGACAACTCAGCTACCCACCTAACACAGCTCCCTCCATTTATCCCTTCAGGATTTTACTCTTACATTATTAATTAAAAACAACCATATACAGGGATAAGGTCAAAGAACGTTTTTAGTTTAAGACGTAGTATTACTTGATAGAAGGCATTTTCTGTTACCTTTCCTGCCATCGTGTTGGACTGAGATTATCTTGCGTGTTAAGAGTCGTGTCCGCGCCCCATCTCAGATTCTTCAAAATCTTTTCCTGCTCAGAGTACATGATGGAGATCTTCTACTACCACACCAAATTTGGCTCAACATCTGTAAACTTAACTGTTAGTGTTTTGTGAGCAGGTAAGCCGTGGTGGCCATCTTGAATTATGCTTACTACAAAAGTTAAAGGGTTGGATGTAAAACTAAATTTAATGATTACTTCCTGACAGTGTCATGAAAACTGTCCACTGGTTAATGAGGCAACACTTGTTCCCACAACATCATTTAGGCCCTGTTTACACGAGAATGAGTGGAAACAGAGATTTTACTGTGTTGTTTGTCAAAAATGTGCATGGTTACAAGTTAAAGCTGTGGTCATTGAATCATTCCAGGTCATCAGCTGACTTGTATTTCAACAACACATAGGCACATCAGTCTTAAAGTGCCTGTGACATGAAAATTTTAAAATAAATATAAAGGCATTATTGGAAAGATAACATTATTAGCATATTGCAAAAATAATTTTCCGCTGCTGAGATGAAAAGTTGTTGAGATATTTGCATGTGAAGAAACAGGAAGTGATGTCAGAGAGGAATGCCTGCATGGAACAACGCATTGATAAAATAGCTAAATACAGACTGTAGAGAAGAATCTGATGTTTCTTTAGATTATTTTGAGTCTCTATCAGAGATAGATGAAGATTAGTCAGAGTTCAAATAATATTGTTTCAATAAACAAAGATTATGGAGTTCAGATTCTTAAAGAGTTCCCCTTTGATATCACTTCCTGTTGCACTTTGGCTGAGCCAAGTTCAAAAGAAAATATCAGTTTATGTGACAAAATGGGTAAAATCGCATATTTTATGCAAGGTTTCTTATTTAAAAATGTGTTTTCTTTGACTTTTTGTATTTGATGGATAGGCATGTCACAGTTAAGCATCAAAACAGTTACATCCAAACAGGTGAATACATAAATGCTCGTTTAGACCAGGGGTGTCAAACTCAGGTAAATATGGGCTGAAACACAACGTTTGCTTAACAAAGTGAATAATAATAACTAATAATAACTAATAATAATAACTTTATTCATGAGTGAAGCATCAAATCAAGCTTGTGTGTTGACCTTTGACCTCCCTCTGGCAGCCTGCAGTGCTGGATAACCTGCTGACTTCCATGAAGTTCGTCCTGCATGGAATGGGCGTCCTCCGCATCAACCTGGCCAACAGCAGGAACAAGGTAGAAGTTCAAACTGTCTGAGTGTTTCCACGTCCTCTCCATCTCTTCCTCGTCCTCGTTCAGGTTCAAACTCAGCGCAGCTTGCTGCTCACCCTGACAGCCACTGGAGGGCAGTGTCTCTATACTGAATCTACTGGATGAAGAGCAGCAAGTTAGATGATGGGTGGGTGGTTGGATTGTGAGGTTTAATCTGATTTGAACTTTGTGGTTTTAGTTATGAGAGCTTTCCACCCACCCGTCACTTCCTGCTGGGAGATGGAGACACAAACGTATTTCCACTATGAAATGTTGCCAAGGGTGTATTTATGTTTACACGTCTTTGTGTGTTTCTCCATTCATTTGTGCATCTGTGGTGACTACTAAATCTGAAGAGCAGAAACAGACTCATAACCATCACATTTGTCCCCCATCTCTGCTCGTTCCTGATTGTTCATCCATTCTGTCCTCACGTCATCCTCTCTCAGGTCCACGCTCACTCAGTGCTGTCGTGCGGGCGGTGCTTTGACGAGGATCAGGTGTTATTTCCCTTCCTGGGCCACGCCTTGTCCTGCCTTTGGGCCGACCATGGGGTGAAGGCAGCGGCCGCCCGGGGCTACGAGTACGAGCTCAACGACTCTGCACTGTAGTGAGTATTTCACTGCTCACACTCACGCTGAGCCGAGGGGAGGCGGGGGTCTAATTAGCAGACGTTAGTAGCAGGTTTTCAGCCGTGTGCTCGCTGTCACTTGCAGTCAACATCTGGAGAGCGGAGAGGAAGAGGCAGGGAAATGGATCGCAGTAATCTGTTTAAAACATGAATTTGAACTACTTGGATTAAATACAGATGTGATGGTGGGTTTGTGTGTGTGCAGGAGAGAAGTAGTGGAACGTTTTGGACACTTTGAGTTCGAAAAGAACTAAAAGTTTAGTGGCAGCACAGTGAAAACAAAGATGTGAGGATGATAGAGGGAATGGTGTGTGTCTCTGTTCATGGTGTGGTAAGAAGAAGCTAAAGTACTCCAGGAGGCCGTCTCCTCTCATCCTCTGCCTCAGTGAGAAGCCTCGACTCTGGGGTTATCCACACCGACAGGCCCCTTGGTTCCCACTGAGAACTGCCACTCGTCACCGTCACCTCACACACTGCATAGTGTTACACTACCTGTGAGGACCGCTTTTCAAAAGTTAACACCAAACGATAAGTTTGGTGTTAACTCTGATTTATGGGATCTATCTTGTGCCAGCAGGAACTGAATTTGAATTGCTCAGATTGAATCTGAATGTGCATAATTTGAAATTGGATGCATTGGTTTGAAAATAAATTTTTACTAAATTGAACCTGAATTTAATGGTTTGAAATGGAATTTAAAGTTGTGAATTTGAATTAATTTGCTTTGAAACTGTATTTTGGTTTATTAAAAATTCAGTTTGACTACTTTCACTTTCAGTTCCATAATTCAGATTTTTGTGTCACATCCTGGTCCTTGAGAAAGCCAGGCAGAGTAATCAAACACAGATCCACAGATTTATGTTTCACTTTGGTGAAGTTTCCCTTCTGTAATGTAACAGAGTTGATGCAATCCACTGTAAAAGTGACAAAAACAGACAAAGTTATTTTATTGCAGTGATTAATTTGATCTATATGTAGAAAATGTTACATTTACATCACATCATGGATCAGTCAGCAGCAGCATCTGATCAACATGTGATCCATGATGTGATGTAAATGTAACATTTTCTACATACAGGTCAAATTAATCACTGCAATAAAAAAAACTTTGTCTGTTTTTGTGACTTTTACAGTGGATTGCATCAACTCTGTTACATTACAGAAGGGAAACTTCACCAAAGTGAAGCATAAATCTGTGGATCTGTGTTTGATTACTCTGCCTGGCTTTCTCAAGGACCAGGATGTGACACAAAAATCTGAATTATGGAACTGAAAGTGAAAGTAGTCAAACTGAATTTTTAATCAACCAAAATACAGTTTCAAAGCAAATTAATTCAAATTCAAAACTTTAAAATCAGTTTAAATTTAGTTAAATTTATTTTCAAACCAATGCATTCAATTTCAAATTTTGCACATTTAGATTCAATCTGAGCAATTCTAATTCAGTTCCTGCTGGCATAACATTTATGCCTACTACTGATTGTTCTCAATAATGTTAGGATTTTAAAATCTATGCAAAAGTCTTGAACCTCTTTTCGTTCCATTTTACTTCCAAGGACTTTGACTCTTTTTGCAATCTTTAAAGAGGTCTTTGCCAGGAGTTCTTTCTGGAAATTAATTAACTAACTAATTAATTAATTAATTAATTAATTATTTTATTTAATTTAGGGGGTAGGGGGAGGCTTGGCTTCTTTTCCACTCTTTTTCTGTCCAGAGTCTGACTTTTTTCAGCAGAGTAGTTTTGTTGTTGTTGTTTGTTTGTTAAGCCTTTTAAAACAATGAATCTTTCTGTCATAAAAAGGCTCCTAAACTTGGGTGATGAATCAGAGTCATGTTAACACGTAACAATTGAGCAAAACACCAGCTAATAATTAAAAATTGTTTCTGTAGGTACTTTTTTATCAGCATCTTGTTACAAAAACAGCATTTGTTTAAATTTATTAAGTTGAATCAATAAAAAAACACAACATATAAAACAGCATTTTAGCCTGAACTTGATGAGTCTTTATCTCAGTGGGTTTTATCTGGTTAAGTAAAGGGGACTGATGAGCTGAAAACTTGGAACACTGGTATTAATCAGCTAAAAGGAAATGTATCTTTAAGGTCCTGATTTTTTCCCCCAATTTTTCAAAACACAGCCTTTAGGCACTTTTCATTTGCTTAAGATAAATTTCTGTAGTTTAGGTTTTTTTTTAAGCTAATGCTACATAATATCAGATATCTGGATCAAATATGATACAAAAATGGACTGAAAATGAGTAAAAAAAAAAAAAAAAAGCAGCCAAAGACCTTCAGAAAACCTTGAAGAAAACTCTTGATCAAATCAACCTTTAAAAATAAAAAACAAACAAAAAAAACAATGTTACTGTTGGAAACTTAAAATGTTTCTCAAACAACAGGCTTGCATGTTTTTTTGTGCAAATTTTTCGTTTTACTTTTTTTCTTTTAAAGCAGCAGGATGTGTGTCTGTGTCCAAGAAACTGATTCAGGATGACTAGTTGTGAATGTCACAGTCAGTTCACATAGGTGGAGGTGTGTGTGTGTGTGTGTGTGTGTGTGCGTGCGTGCGTGCGTGCGCACGCCTGAGATTTAAAGATCACGTCTCACTGAATGTGTGCACACAAACAGAGGCTTCATCATGCTGCCTGTGTTAAGTGCTCATCAGTGTTTAAAAGCTTGGCCTCAGTTTGTTTATTATGTAAAACCACGATGTGAAAATTCATCATGATGGACCCCCCCCCGGAGCTCCACCTCTGCACTCCCAGCCCACAAGCTGGCAGTCGACACAACCACGTCAAGCACAATGAGCTCACACACCCCTCACTGATTCTTTTGATCTCCAGTTTTACTGCAGGTTATTTTTCTTCTTACTTCTTCCTCTTCTTTTTAACTCTCCTCTTCCTCTCCTAGTTTCTTTGACAACATGAGCCGCATCACTTCTCCAGAATACGTGCCCACAGAGACAGACGTGCTGCGAGTGCGACTGAGGACGACAGGCGTGATCGAGACCCAGTTTAAAGTCAACCACCTTATTTTCAGGTAGACTCTGCCACTTGGCCCTTGTAACTTTACAGAATGAGTCACTTTAAGAAGCACTGAGTTACTCAGCGATGCCTCCTTTCATTCTCTGCACTAACTTTCCTAACTTCTCCATCTGCTGCTCTCTTATCTCCGTCTACAGCCGTGTGATTAGCCTGAGATGTGAGTTTAAGATGGGCGGCTTCGTTCAATATGTCAATACGTCTGAAAGTTAGTCGTTGGTTTTATCAGCAGGGCAGCAGAGGGCTGATATCTGAGCTCAGGAGGTTGATCATATTTGTCGCTGAACACCACCTTCTTCATTTTTTATTGGCTCGACTCACTTCCTGAAGCCTCGCAGGGTCACGGCAGGGCGAGAGATGAGAATAAACGTCTCGATGTACAGAACCCAACAAGTGCCAAGGGTGGAAAATGTGTTTGTTGCTTTAATAAAGGATGTACCGTATTTATTCAAGTGTAATATGTAAAATTAAATCCATAAAATCATCCATAAAGTTAGGGTGTAGTTTTATACTTGGATAAATATTTTTACTTATGTATTTTAACTGAAATATCGGCTTCATTCACAAAATGACTGAGTCCGGAAATGAGACCGCGTCATAAAAAGCAGCTGAAACGACCTTACCTGTGACACTCATTCGTGCTTCAGAGCGAGATAGTAACAGATCCAGGCAGGCGACTTGAAAAAAAGGGGAAAAAGCAGTCCTGCAGCTCAGTAATGATAACGAACTAATGACATTAGCGTGTGACCAGGACGCTTCTGGAACAACAACAAAAATGTTCGTCTGTAATGGCTGCTGTCTACCGGTGTTCTGAAAAGGTTTGTATCCCTGAAAAAAGTTTCCCCACCAGAGGGGGCGCTCGCGAGTAGGAAGTAATCTGCTTTCACCCGACAAGATGGCCCAAATCTCATGTGAAGTCTCTGACTTTTGTGTTGACGCCTCCTGGTGGACTATGTGTAAAATGCCAGAAGTCATATGATGCTGCTACAGCTGATATATATTTGTTGTCAAAATACCTTTTAGTACAAATGTTGTTAAAATAAAATGAACAGTCCAATGATCATTTTGCTGATCTGTATAAAGACTGCAAAGGCTGAAAAATCTTAAGTCTGTATGAAATTGGAGGTACCGGTAGTTTGAGGATGAAATTGCAGCTCATCTGGGGAAATCCCAAGGTGTTCCCAGGCCTGCTGAGAAACATAGTTCCTCCAGTGTGTCCTGGGTCTTCCTCTGGGCCTCCTCCCAGTGGGACATGCCCGGAACACCTCAACAGAGAGGCGTCCAGGAGGCATCCTAACCAGATGCCCGAGCCATCTCAACTTTCTCCTCTCGACGTGGAGGAGCAGCGCCTCTACTCTGAGTCCCTCCCAGATGACTGAGCTTCTCACCCTATCTCTAAGGGAGAGCCCAGACACCCTGTGAAGGAAACTCATTTCGGCCGCTTGTATTCGTGATCTCGTTCTTTCGGTCACTACTCAAGGTTTGTGACCATAGATGAGGGTAGGAATGTAGACCGACCGATAAACCAAGAGCTTTGCCTTCTGGCTCAGCTCCCGCTTCACCATGACAGACTGGTACAGCGTCTGCATCACTGCAGAAGGAGCGCCAATCCACCTGTCGATCTCCCGCTCCATTCTTCCCTCATTCGTGAACAAGACCCCGAGATACTGAAACTCCTCCACTTGGCACAGGACCTCCTCCCCGACCCGGAGGCAGCACACTACCGTTTTCCGGCTCAAGACCATGGTCTCAGATTTCGAGGCACTGATCCTCATCCGGGCTGCTTCACACTCGGCTGTGAACCGCTCCAGTGAGAGCTGGAGATCAGGATCTGATTAAGCCAATAGGACCACATCATCCACAAAAAAGCAGAGATGTGATCCTAAGGTCACCAAAAAGGATCCCCTCAACACCTTGGCTGCACCTAGAAATTCTGTCCATAAAAGTTATGAACAGAATCGGTGACAAAGGTCAACCTTGGCGGAGTCCACCTCTCACCGGAAACGAGTCCGACTTACTACCGGCAATACGGACCAAGCTCTGGCACCGGTCATACAGGGACCTAACAGCCCGTATCAATAGGCCTGGTACCCCATTCTCCCGGAGTACCCCCCACAGGAGTCCCCGAGGGACACGGTCGAATGCCTTCTCCAAGTTCACAAAACACATAGACTGGTTGGGCAAACTTCCATGCACCCTCCAGGACACTGCTGAGGGTGTAGAGCTGGTCCGCTGGTCCACGACCAGGACGAAAACCACACTGCTCTTCCTGAATCTGAGATTCGACTATCCGTTGGACCCTCCTCTCCAGGACCCCCGAATAGACCTTACCAGGGAGGCTCAGATGTGTGATCCCCTTATAGTTGGAACACACTCTGCGGTCCCCCTTTTAAAATAGGGGGACCACCACCCTGGTCTGCCAATCCAGGGGAACTGCCCCCAATGTCCATGCAACATTGTACAGTCGCGTCAACCAACGCAACCCCACAACATCCAGAGCCTTAAGGAACTCAGGGCAAATCTCATCCACCCCCGGCGCCCTGCCACAGAGGAGCTTTTTAACCACCTCAGTGACCTCGGCACCAGAGTTTGTAGAGTCTGACCCAGGGTTCCCAGGCTCTGCTTCCTCATGGGAAGATGTGTTGGTAGGATTGAGGAGGTCCTCGAAGTTTTCCGCCCAACAACCCACAATGTCCCGAGTTGAGATCAGCAGCGCACCATCCCCACCACAAGTAATGTTGGTGGCGACCCCCCCACCCCCGACGCCAGTTGGTGGACCAGAATCAACTTGACATGTATGTCTGATGTGTGATTTGGTTGACAAATTATTAAAACTCTTTTTAATTTGATGTTAAAGAATCACAGAAGACTGTGCAACCAAAAAGTTAACTAAACGAATAAAAAATCAGACTAATAACACTTTTGTCACTTTTTTACTTCTGGTTTGCTTCCATCAGTGAAACATACTAAATGCTCATTTCAGTAACTTGGACCTGTTATCCTTTGCACATGCAGTCTTAGTAAATCAGGCACAACACCTCCACTTTTAGCACGTTTTTTTTATTTTTTGAATTTGCACAGGAAATTTGTATTGGTTTTCTTGATAAATCAGCCCCATAGTGTTTTCTTTTTGAGTTGGTGACATGTGATGGTGTTTTTGTTAACATACTGAAGAAAATTAGATATTATTCCACTTTTCAAAACTTTTCTGTCCGATGAGCATTTCTTCCTTCATCCCAGTCTGATGATAACTCTCCTGTGGAGTTAAAAGAACAAATCCTATCTGTTTTACCTTTATGACACCTAAATGCATATAGCTTTTATGACACCTAAATGCTTATACTGCATCTCTGGGCGACTTGTCTGACCTGATTTGACAAACGTTTTACGTCAGGAAAACTTTCATAAAGATCAAAACAGTTAATGTAAACAAATCTGCTCAGATAGTGTTTCCCTCTCAGACCTCCTGATTGAGTCACCATGGCGTCAGTCAGGCAGATACAAGTTGGTGATTTTATTTGTTTCAAATATTTTTGGACGTCATCGGGTGACGGCGTCTGATCTGAGCTGAAGGAGCGGAGTCTCAGGTGGCGCTGCAGGATGGATCACTCTCACGCTCCCTCTCTTCTCTTATCGGAGTCTTTGAGAAGATAAATAATTGGGTTTAGATAATTAACATGCAGCAGCGTGAGTGTTTGTCAGGCTCTTTGTGCACATCTGTGCGTAGGTTTGTGTGTTTATGTTTTGAAAAGATTAAGCCTAGGGTTTGATGAGGAGCTTAGCATAAATTAATGTAATTATAATAACTTTTGGCACAAAATGGATTTAAAGAGATTTGGAGAGGTGGTTTGTGTTTGTCAATGAGGAAAATGGAGTTTTCTTTTTAATTTAGAAGTAGTGAGCAAGTATTTATTGACGTTTTAGTGCCTATGTGGATTTCAAATGTGTCTGCAAAATTATTCCAAGAATTTAGATCTCTGCTCTTACTTCATATTTAAGCTGCACTTGAAGCCGTAAATGAAGTAGGTTTTTTCAATTTGTTTCCTCCTCATTGGTTAGTAAGGTTTCTCATTTGTTCAAACATCTGCTCCCAGCACTTCTGTTTCCATTCACCTCTTTAGTGTGGCTGAAGATTGCTGTGGCTCCGTCCATTGCCCCTTTTCTGAGGTGGTTCTCAGATCAACTCATTTTGAAGCTGTCTCTTTAAATCAAAATGAGGCGCTTCCCCCTTCAGCTAGTTTGATATAGGTGTTTGCCACTATATACTGTACCTGCGCAGACACGTTTTGTCTACAAATTAATTAAAAGATGTCAACAACTGAAGACTTGTCCATCCAGCCTTACATGTTGAAGCCAGAGTCTGACCCAGAGCCAGAGGAGAATGAAGATGACAAAACTGTAGCTGGTAAACCCAAACTTTTATTTAGCAGTTTTGTTGCCAATAATTTCATGTAATAGTTCAGAAAATGTAATAGAAAATAAAGAAAACTGAATGAGTTGAAAAAAATATGACCCGAAACTGAATATAAAGATGTCTTCTCAGCACTTTTTTGCACTCATAGACTCCAAGCACACAACAAAATATGTTTAACGGCTAAAAAAGTGAATTTTCATGACATGCCTCCTTTAAGTCTGGAGGAACAAAAACAAACTTGGAAACTCCTTCCCTATTTATTGTCTGCGTCTGAAATCAAAGGGTTTTATAATGTTTTTGCCTGTGTTCATGCATGTTTAGTTGTCTTTCTGGTAACAAAATACATTATATTGCCAAAAGTATTCACTCACCTGTCTTGACTCACATATGAGCTTAAGTGACATAATTCCTAATCCATAGGGTTCAATATGACGTTGGTCCATCCTTTGCAGCTAGAACAGCTTCATCTGTTCTGACGGCTGTCCACAAGGTCTAGGAGTGTTTTTGGGGGATTTTGGACCATTCTTCCAGAAGCACATTTGTGAGGTCACATACTGATGTTGGACAGAAGGCCTGGCTCTGTCTCTGCTCTAATTCATCCCAAAGGTGTTCTGTCAGGTTGAGGTCAGGACTCTGTGCAGGTCAGTCAAGTTCATCCACACCAGACTCTGACATCCATGTCTTTATGGACCTTTGTGCACTGGTGCACAGTCATTTGGATGGGTGAGCAAATACTTTTGGCAATATAAAGAATCTCATGAACCATTTTAGTGAGACTCTTAAAGTAAACATCAGATGTACATCTACAGCTCATTACAGTTCAGGGGCAACCCAATTCAAGATTGTCACCACAACTTCTTATCATTAGTCGACACCAAATTGACTGTAGCTCAGTCAGTTTTACACACAGCTAAAATGGATGTGGTAATAGCGCAGAGTCATTGTCAACACAGAGTCTGAGCACTAAAAGATCTTGAGAGATCTCACAATATCATTTTCATTTTTCATTTTCATAAATTTTATTCATTCCATGAAAAAAAATTTTTTTATGTACAATAAAAATAAAAAAATACAAATACAATGAAATGAAAGGAAGCAGAGAGAAGAACAAAAATCTCATATCTGCCCCTTTTTTCCTCAATTCAAACAACGTAGTATCTTTAGTTAACAAAACAAGAACATCAAATCATTCAAGAACAACAAATTGTATGGTTACACATTATACTGTTTCATATTTTTTCAACAATTCCACTTTTATCATTCTCTTGAACATGTACTTTGATTTGGCACTTTTCACATAATTTTCCAGATTATTCCATAATCTGACTCCTTGGATTGAGGTGCACCATTCTTTCAAACATGTTCTAAATTTACTGTAGGTTTCACGAACAACTCTGTCCGCTTAAGATTATAACAGCTTGCTCTTTTTGCAAAGTTTTTCTGGATGTTTATAGGTAAGGTGAGCCTTATACATAACTAATGACATAACTAATGAGATATTGTAATCAACAAAATCATAAAATTTCAATAATTTCAGTTTAAAGAATAATACATTAGATGGATAATAGTAATGTTTTCGAGTGATAACTCTTATAGCTCTTTTTTACAAAACAAAAACAGGATGCATATCACACAAGATCATGAATAAAATTAAATTCAAGGATCGACTAAAACTATAACTCAGTGCCCTCGCAGCTCAACATGAATACTCAGTCATAAAAGGCAGTGGTTGATAGGCATTCCTTCAAGGCATATTAGGCCTTTAATTGTGAAATAGAGTAAAATCAGCTCCTTCAGGTGAGACAGATAAATGTGAAACAATCTGACTTCCACATCAGTGTAAAATATATTCAGTTTATATTAAGAAAAGGAAATCAAATTTTTATGATATTAATGTTTTACATGTTTCCAGTATTATGTTACTCAGGAAATGGCTCGGAGCAGATTGGAATGTGTTTGATGAAACAATAGAAGATGTTTTCTCAGATGAAAACCTGTTTAATAAAAGACAGGCGCTAATTCCAAGTTTAATTGCAGGAGGGAGATTAGATAATTAAAGGCTGTCATATACTGGATTTTCTTTTTTATTTCATTACATTTTTAGAGAATAATGAATGTTTAATTTGTTAGTTTTTTCAGCCATTTATTTAATTTACCTGATAAGCTGCTATAAAGTATTCTAGATTTTTCCTCTGTTTTGAAGCATTTTTTACTGTAAGTGGAAAAGAATGGAGCCTGGTTTACTCTGGTGTAAAATATTAATTATTTTACTAGATTTATGAGGAATATCCTAGTTTTATTTTTACCTGATGTGACTGTGTGCATTTATGAAACATTACAGCTGTGTAGTTCAGATTTTACCAGAGTTTAATTCAGAAGATGCAAATGACCTGACCCATAATTACTGAGTGAAATGGATCAGAGGTGTGGGGTCAATTGGCTCATTATTATTTATTTTTAAATCCTTGTTTCATGAAAACTGACATGAAGGACGAGAGCTATCTGAATGCTGAGGGGGGATTTCTGTCCCAGCCACCAGGAGCAAGGGTTTTCAACAATTAAAGGCCTAACTTTCCATAAAGGAATGCATGTCACCTCTGACTGATAGACGACTCGTCCTGCTTCCTGTTATTCATGCTCCATAAGTTCACCCTCATCTGCAGTGCTGTAATTATCAGAACTCTCAATGTTAGACTAAAAATACTTATTACACACAGGTCAAAGGTCAATCACTGCACGCACATGCTGGTGGACATAGACAAAACAACAAAGTGGAGTTTGGATTGGGGTAGAAATATGATTCAGCCTTGAAACCTGACTAAAGGAGTTGTTGAACTGATTGTTGATGAAGTGATCTCTTGTCTTCTAGATTCAGGAAGGCAACTTTCCCTGATTTGGTTGTCGCCTGCTACTGAAAGGCAAAAACCAACAATGTTTTTGTGTGTTTGCATGCATGCGTGTGTAAATGGTGTGTAAATTATTTAAAAGAAATCATAAAAGCAGGGGTGTCCAACTCATTTTCACAGAGGGCCCTCAAAGGGCCAGTTGTAAATTTCATCATAATGTTTTTCATGTATGCAGTGTTAGATAACTCAGGAATGTGTGCCATGTTTAGCTTTGACTAAACACAAAACGTCACTCTTCTAGTCTTATTGCTAGCTGAGCACCGCTAACAAACAAGAACTGAGCTCTACCTGGTATTTCCTACATAGAAACAGTGTTTTAACACATTCTCTTATAAACACTGAAAAGAACTACGTGTACAACTGACTAAATGTGAAGAAAATAATACAGAAATACTATTAAAAGTAAACAGTAATCACTAATAAGTTGTGGTTAGTACCTGCCATCGTGAAGTCTGAACTCTTGCACTTTCCGACAGGGAATTCTCATGGATGATCAACATGCATTAGATATAGTTAATGGTTGATGCTGGCTTTAAAGTTATATTTAAAAATAAATAAAGCATATTTTGAGACATTAAAACTGTGCAAGCTAATTGCTCAGTTACTTAAAGCCAACAACTCGAGGGAAGGACAATATTATCCTTCGCCTTTAAAATTTATTTTGTTGCATTTAATCACAAATTTAAAGTTTACCTTGATATAAAAACAATTATCATATTAACTTTATAAATGTATACGTATATAT